GGTTTGGGTCTGGGTTTGGGGTCTTCTCAGACTGAAGAAGTCTCTTGGAGGAGAGACGAAACGTTTCATTAGAGAAGAACCCGTCCAGAAGACCTTTACAATTTTTTTGATTTTTGATTTTTTACCTGGATTACTGAGATGCATCAGGACATTTCTCCAAACTCTTGTTCAAAAACCCTATCTACAACAGGTAAGACAGTAACTGTTCACAACGTTTCGACAGAAACCCACTCCAGACCATCGGAACAATCCCTTTAAGTTCACATTCGTCACCAGGAGTCTACATCAAAAAACTCCTATTTTAGTTTTCCTGTTATTTTTTATTAGCTGAGCTGTATTATGATGGTAATAATCCAGAGCAACTTGCCGCTATTTTTCTTAGCTTTTTCTGCTCTAATCAGTAACACAGCTGCAATTAAGATGATGGAAGAGCTGTAGTTTGTAAACATTAGCGATCAATCACCCCACCGGCGCTCTGACCATTTACTGATCCTTTAATAATAGGTGAAATGTTTTATGATTCAGCACTGCAGTAAATTTTGAATCTGTCACCAGATCGATGGCTTGGGTGGAGGGGGGGGGGGGTTTCCCCTCAGAGATAGCTGCGAGCCTGGTGTGACAGATGAGTCGGCTGAGGGAGTCTGACAGAGAGAAATCCCACTTTCTTGTATCAACAAGGGAAGAACAAGTTCCAGCATCAAAATTAGTGCCGACAGAGAACAAGCAGACTGACAAGACTGTTCAGAGCTCATTAAAACCTCTGATAGACTTCCTTAATGAGTAATTTATCACTCTGCTCTGTAAGTGCAAATCAGGGGAGAATAAAGTCAAAGGATATACGGACCGGACCAGGTGGTTCCAGTGACGCTGTGAGCAAAAAGCTCTCATCAGATGTGACATATTGGCGGTGACACTAAACACGGCTAATTACTGCTAATGAGAGGCTTGGACTGATGTTGTTGTCACCAGCTGGGAACACCGCCTCCACCTGCGTCCAATTCTCTTCTTTTTCCTCCATTTTCGCTGCCAAAAATGCCACGGCTAAACAAAATACCACTGGAAATCAGTCAAAGCAGCGGCATTACAGAGCTGCTTGCTTTCCAGCAGCACAAAGGAAATAAAGTGGAGCGAGGAATTTCTCAGGTGAGAGCCTCACGCTGCTCCGAGATAATGGAAATCATTTAAGTTTGAGAGCATAAATGCTGAGCAAAAACAGAAGAAAAAATCTTGMAACACAGTGACCTTTTTGTGTTTGTTTTTTCCCTGAAAACCTATTAAAAATGTAATTAAAAAGGCAGTCTAGTAAGGCTCCCCCGTGGTGAACGAACAATTACCAGCTTCTGAACAAGTTTGTACGACAGGCAGCAGCCATGGGCGCATTCAAAATGAAAATGTGATGAGATACGGGGAGCTACAACCCTTCTTTCCTCCTTTTTTTTCCTTGCTCGTTTGCATTCAGCATTATTATGCCTTGCTGGAAAGAAGGAGGAAGCGAGCCAAGCAGGGAGGCATCGCATCCAAAAGCAGCCTACTATAGTTTTCTCAGCGGGTGTCCTGGTTCTGTCTGATTCAGCAGCCAAAGATGGTTTATTTTCACTGTCGATCCATGACTATCCTGCCTGAACCGCTGTGGAGAGCGATAGGAAAATGGAAAAACTTCATTGTTATTGTTTCTTCTATACGGCCTAAGAAATAATTCAGTTGTGGCCATTTTGGTCGAACCRTGAAAATAACATTATGTGCTATCTCATGCAATGCTGTGAGATCATCGCTTGGGCCATTAGTGCTTGAATTATATGTTGCGAATAATTCTCAGCTACCATACCAAATTTTGGCGCTAAGTTTGTAAATCTCACAGACAAATGGGCAGGCTGATGTCATTGTGAACTGACTTATTCCCAAAACGTAACTGGTTGTTAATAATGATTATTTTCTGTAATCCATTTAAGGGTTTAGGAGCTATTTTGCTAACAAACACAGTTGTCACTGATAGCTAATGCCAAGTTCTTAAGGTTTTATGCAATGTTTTGCCCTCTAAGTATGTGTTGGGGATGATGCTCAGCTGCCACCATGCCAAATATTAGAGCAATATTTGTAAAATTGACCAAGTTATAGCCATTATTGTGTTTTCAAATGTTAGTTGTCTGTGGCAGCCATCTTGAATTGGGTTGTCTCTTCAAATGTTAATAAGTTGTACATGTTAATCCAATGACTACTTCCTGAAAGTTTCATTAAAATCGGTTCAGTGGTTTAATAGATAGAAACGAACACACGTGTAGCAAAAAGAAACATAATCACTCCATTTCTGTTTCCTTGCACAGTTTCAGCCAGAGGGATGAATGCAAAGTGAAGAAGCAAGTCCCAAATTAACCAGAACTGAATGGGCTTCGCGTGGAATCCTAAATGGGCTGTAATAGACACTGGAAAAGACTCATCGTTTTTCTGCCACATCTAATATTTCAGAATGGCCTGGCTCGCTGAGGATGGAGGCGTGCATCTAAATCCACCGATTACACAGCAAAGATTACAATGTGACTCGTGCAGTTGCATGCCGTAAGCCCCCCCCCTGTGTGACTGCTGCAGAGGAGACGGTGATTGTGTTTTACACGGATCTGAGGATTTTCAGGGCAGCTGGAGCGAGCTGAGGATAAATTGGGGCGGCACAAAGGAGATGGACATCCTGTCAGGGTCAGACGCAGCTACAGGGTCTCTGGATCAGCTGGATCGTCGGGCCGAGAAAAGGTCGAAACGGAAACAAACTGTCTGAGCTGTGAGGGCGCTGAAAATGCCACGACACTTCTCCAATCTAGTGTTTTTTTTCTGGTTGAGCTGCAGCCACAMTCAAATATACAAAATTTCTATTTTTTTAAGAGAATTGTTGAGATTAAATAAAGGATGATAAAGTTGTAGCCATTTGGGTCAAATCGTCATAATGTTTTTCTAAATTTCACATGAAATCACATGATGACGCACTTAAAGTAGGTAATGTGGATGACTCTCAGCTAAACCACATCTGTTTGTATTTCAATATATGTAGAATGGGCTCAGTTATTTACCTGTGGCAGCATAGGGTGACTCCAAAACTTAATCAATTTTATACAAACTAAATAAAACTCCACAAATATATCCTTTAAAATAGTCCAATGCAAGATATTTTGCTAACAGACAAACAGGACTGAGCCCAACACTTAATGAGTGGGTTTTGAAGATGAATTGTGGCTACATCTRCAGCAAATTTTASCACATTTGTTCTTCTAAGGTTAACTACACTGCAAAAACTGTCCATCTTACCAAGTTTTAAAATCTTATATCAGCCAAAAGGTCTTTTTGATCTTGTTTTGAGACTGATTTACTAAACAAGAACTGATTGTGTAAGAATAATAATCTTGTTTTCAGAATGTGTAAGATTATTTGTCTTGTTAGTCTGAAAATTTGACTAAAATTAAGTCAAATTTCTGCCAATGGAGTAAGAAAATTTTACTTGGTAAGATTCTTGAAATAAGAAAACTTCGAGTCAAATCAAGTATTTCAAGAATCTTACCAAGTAAAAATTTTCTTACTCCATTGGCAGAAAGTTATGACTTAATTTGAGTCAAATTTTCAGACTAACAAGACAAATAATCTTACACATTCTGAAAACAAGATTATTTTTCTTAAACAATCAGTTCTTGTTTAGTAAATCAGTCTCAAAACAAGATCAAAAAGACTTTTTGGCTGGATATAAGATTTTAAAACTTGGTAAGATGGACACTTTTTGCAGTGTATCGGTGGTGGCCATCTTGCTCTGCACTGTCCCTAAAACTTCATCACAGATTATTTTCCTAAAGTTTCATCATGAGATCTTTAGATGACAGACATCTCAGGTCCTCCTCCCCACTGAGGAGATAAAGTTTACAAAATGGATCAGAAAGTAAATGTTCCAAAACTGAACAATAATAAAATGTTAGTAATGGTCTATTTTCAACCTGAAGAATCTAGTAATCCATTATTCATAATGGGTGACATTTAAAAGTTTTTTGTATTATCAATATGGTTGGTTTTGACATTTTAAATGACTTCCGGGGATTATAATAAAAAAATAAATAAATAAAGACAACCACAGGTTTAAAAGCAGAACAGAAAGTGATGATTCAGCTGTGTGACAGTCATCCGACTGTGGCCAACACCAATTTGTCACAGAAAAAAATAAAATAAAAAAGGGTAAATCAGAGCAGAAACAGAAATGTTCCTGCCTCTGAGCTGCTCCTCCATTCCTCATGCCAGAAACCCCTGAGCAAGCACGCAACTGTAGATTTTTTGACACTTATTGACTTCAATCTTACTCTTGAGACAGCAAACCTTCCATCTGAACATGTTAGGAGTGTTTTTAACTTCTTTTTYCCCCCCAATCATTTCCATTTTCTAGCCTCAAATGCTCAAGCGATTTGCTACAAAACAAACTCACAGTGACACCAGCCCAAGTGGCAGCACCAGTGCAGCTTGAAGCACTTCCCGTGGCTGTGCGTAGCGCAGATGGAGAGTCCATCACAAGGCAGGAAGTCTGGTCTCCCCGCGCAGCTCTTGGCCAAAGCCTGCGCCTCGTCCAACTTCTCACTCTTCGGACACTTATGAGCTCCCGAGGCGGCCATGCCAACATTTCCTGGAGCCAAAAGAAATAAAAACCCCARGCAGACGCACGATCTAATCTCCTTTAAGACATTTAAAAAAAAAAAAAGGTCCACGCAGCGCAGAGCAGCGGAGGACGCAGAAAAATAAAAAATAAAAAAACAACCCACAGCGTTTGGGTCTGAATCAGAGCAGCTCGGTGGGCTGTGGGAGGAAGAAGGGCGTCATAAGCGGAGAGTTATGTCACATTTAAAATCCTCCCGTCATCGAACGCATCCCTCCGCGGTCGTGCCTTTCGCGTCGGGAGGCTCCTCAGCTGTGCGCGGCTCTGACGCGCAGCTGAACTTCACCGCGCGGCGGGAGGAGCCCGAAAAACACAAAGCCAGCTGCTGCTGCTGCGCGCGCGCTTCAAACAAGGCTTTCATCAGCACCCCCCACCCCAGCTGGACTTCAAACATCTGAGTTTAATATTCATCATCTACGACCCACCTTAAAGGGTTTGGGTTTCACAAACTCACCAGATGGCTTAAATCCTGCAACTAAAAAAAAAAAAAAAAAAAAAAAAAAAAAAAAAAATACGAGTTTCCCCTTTAAAAATAAAAAAAGAAAAGAAAAACATTTGGAAAAATGCAGCTTAATAAAGTCAAATCATCCAGCTGTTTGTGGAGGAGTCTCCAGCCGCTAGGTGGCATCTCCAACATCTGCTCAGTCCTGAGATTTACTCAAGAATGAGAAACTGATTTATGGAAAGTGTGTTTGGATGTGTGCGCCTCCCTCCGCTCCTCTCTGTCACTGTGAACAGCTGAGGCTGCAGAAACCAGAACATCCAGGGAAAAACACTTCTCAGCTTCCTCTCATTAAATATTTACAATAAATGGACCCAAGAATGAAGATATAGCATTACTTGAAGGAATGCATATCACCCACCTGGCACGCTAAAGATTTTTTGTGACTCATTAGTGTTGGGGGATCAGTCTCATATTACAGCTCAAATGTCATCCAAATATCTGTAAAACTGACTGCATGTTAGTAATATTAAATTTTCCAAGGTTTTCTAGTGGCAAYAGATCTAAAAGCTAATCAGCTGCARCTTTATATCCAATAATCATTTTCTGACATTTTCAATGAGATRTTTTGCTAAAAGTTTATCTAAGAATCGATGCTAAAATTTTAAACAAGATCTTAAACGTTCAATCAAACTATAAGTTGGACACAACTCTCAAACGTCAGCTCCCTTTATGTAAAACTGACTGAGTTATAGCCCTTTGTTTTCTTTTGTTTTATATGGTTAATTATCTGTGGATTGAACGAGGTTTACTCCAAAAGGTAATTAGTCACACATCCAATGAGTCAGAGAGATTCATTAAAACACACCCACTGGTTYATGAGATATTTTACTAACAGATGAACAAAATAACAGAAAGTTATTCCTGCTTTTCATTGCAGCAGGTGATGATTAAYAGCACAGAGGCATCTATACTAACACAAAGCACAGTCACTTAAAAATAGTTACTTTAAAGTTTTTTTTATTCAAGGATCTGATTATAATGCACAACAGATAGTGTTATATAAAACATTAATACAGAAAAATGTAAAAAAAAAACACATTATAAATCTTTTGGCACAATTAAGCTCCTGGACTCCTCCACAGTCAATATTTGTACATTCTTATGCAGATTTTATTGCTTTTTTTATTTTATTTTTTTCAGTAAAGCACCACATCATTAAAGACTTGTGCATAAAGCTGTCAGTATGATGAAAAATTAGCTTATATACAAGTTGTAAATGTCTAAATTGTTCTTTTACATTCATATTTTATGTTGCTGTTATTTTGATTAATTTGGTTTATTTAAAGTACTTTATTGCACCTCTGTTGTTTCCAAAGGCTAGAGGCAGGAGAAATAATTGCAGCCGTAATGCAAAACGATCAGCTCGCATCTTTAGAGGCGGGTGTTTATGCAGTCTTTTCGACAGACCAACGAGCACAATTTACTTTCATCCAGAATAACGTTTGTGTAAAACATGAACGACTGCAAAGCCAATCATGTTCAGATATTCTTGAAACATCTTTCCACGATGCTCAAAGTCTCTTTCCTCATCGTAGATTTGAGCTCATTGACTGAAAAACATCACGGGAGGTCAGTTATTTCCTGCGGCCATCCACTTAAACGTTTTTTTTTCTCTTTCTGCTGAGGCTGCAGCTGTAACTTTTACCACCTCAACAATTTACTCCAATTACTGTCAACCTCTATTCAAATTACTGGCTCCACACTTCTAAATGCTGGGATGTGGAAACGGAGCCAATTACATTCTTGTTCAATTCGCCTTTGCACATTTCATATGCTCCTAATGTGTTGTTGCTATCATCACTACATGTAGAAATGTTTGATTAGCGTTTCTTCTTACATAAACTGTAATTTAAGTGGCTGATTTAAAGAAAATGTTTGTGACTAAGATTTTTATGGTTTGGTTTATCTCCTGCATATACATACAGCCATCACAGTCATAATACGTGAATCAATGACTCAGTTTTATTGGATTAGGAAGTATTTGGTTGATTTGTGTGGGCGATATTAAAGCTGGCTGTGGGGTCTCTTGATGACCTCCCTCCATTTGTGGATAGGTGGGCTGCCACTGGCCACAAGCTTTCTGAGSAGGCTGCAGGGCTGCAGGCTGGGAACATCGGGGTGCAGCTGGTGGTAGTGCTCCAGCCTCTCCAGGACCTTATTCAGACCCACCATTCCGGCGTAGAACATGGGACCCCCGCRATGAGGGGGCCAGCCATAACCAAGCACATAGATGACGTCGATGTCTTCAGGCCCTGCAGCTATTCCATCCTCGAGAATGTGGAAACCCTCGTTTATGAGAGCGTAAAGACAGCGATCCAGCACCTCTTGGTGATCGATGCGGCGCGCCACCAAGCCATGCTGGGCTCGGWACTCCTCCAGAAAGAGGTGAATCCAAGGATCGGGCTTAGCAACTCGACCACCGGGTTTGTCATATTGGTACCATCCTTTCCCCGTTTTCTGGCCAAACCTTCCAAGCTCACAGAGCAGGTCTCCCAGCGGGCTGTACCTGTGGCCTTCGCGGACTCTAGCGGACGGTCCTGTTGAAGCTCCGGGCGTCACCAGCCCACGTGCCTGCCTGACCCTCCAACCTACATCGAGCCCAGACAGGTCCGACATTCGGAACACCCCCATGGCGAAGCCAAACTCCTCCAGCACTTTATCTACCAGCTCRGGCGTGGCTCCCTCCTCCAACAGGAAGAAGGCTTGGTCCAGGTAGGACTTCAGCATGCGGTTCCCCACAAAGCCGCGGCAGTTCCCGACGGCCACGCCGACCTTCTCCATTTTCTTCCCGATCTGCATGGCRGTGGCCAAAGCTTGAGGGGACGACTTTCGCCCGTACACCACCTCCAGGAGCTTCATCACATGAGCTGGAGCAAAGAAGTGCATTCCTACCACCAGCTCTGGGTTTGGGGTTTGGGCAGCCAGCTCATCGATGTCTAACCCAGAGGTGTTAGTGCAGAGGAGCGTGCCTGGTTTACACATGGCCGCCAGCTGCTGGAAAATGACCTTCTTCAAAGCCATGTCCTCGAATACGGCTTCRATGACCAGGTCAGCATCYGCCACGGCCTGGAGSTTATGGCTGTAAAGGACTTTATCGAGTGCCGGMGGGACCCCGCGTCTCTTAGCTCCTCGCGCCAACATGTCCGACACCGCCTGCTTTGCCTCTGTTAGCTGCTTCTCATTGGTTTCCACCRCAACTACAGACAACCCAGCCTGAGCAAGGGCCACAGTTATACCACGTCCCATGGTGCCAAGCCCTGGAAAGATACAAATCAAACTCTGAGTGCCACAAACATCTCCTATAAGCAGTGGTGGGCAGCACTAATCTAAATATTAGTTGCACTGACCCTGAAGCACTAACTCAAATATTTAGGTCCCTTAATTCTAAAGCACCAACGCACTGAAAAATTTAGCAAAAGCTATTTCTAAAGCACTAATAAAATCCAGTTGACACATGAAGCATTCTTCAGTCAACATAAGACAATATTTACTGTGTGCAGAATGTCAACACGTTCTCACTCCAGACTCAACATATTGACTCTTGGTCAGGGACCGYCTGCGTCCAGTTTTGACGCGTCAGGAACCCCCCTCGCATCAGTCATTGTCGCTCGCGGCTTTTCTGGTTTTCGCCATATTGGGGTGTTTGGGTTGGAGGTATGTGGTTAAAGGGCTATATCATGTAAAATCAACTTTTTTGAGTTTTAATCATGATATAGTGTTATCCTCTCATCAAAAACATGCCCAGAGTCTTGCTTTGACTCATTCATGCATGTTTGAGAAATCCTGTAGTGTCCTGAGGCAGCCAGGCAGGGGAGCAAAAACGGCTGAAACGCCTTTTGGGACCATCTCTGTCTCTGGGCTGTTTCCAAGCCGAGCTGCCTCATCCCTACCCCCCACCCCACACACCCCACCCATGACTCCTGCAGGCTCTCCGCAGTAACGAAGCAAACAACGGTTGAAACTGAAAGTGAAACTGAAACTGTCTGCTGAGCTTCTAACACTACTTCTCACTCAGTGAAGCTCTTTTAAGATTCAAAATACCTTTGAGGAAATGTATTTTCAGATGCCAAGTAATCCGCATCATAGTGCGCGCACCCCCCACCCACCCACCCCACCCCCGTGCTGAAATGGGCGGGCCAGAAGTGGAAGGTGGTTTTTAAAGAGACAGAGGCCAATTTCAAGGTGTTTAGAAGAGGAAGTGATGAGAAGATAAGTTTATTTTCTATTTAAACATAAAAACAGCATTTTAATAACAACTAAAGGTGACAGATACTTTATTATGGTACAGTATTTAAATATATGCCTGAGAAACACATTATATTGCCCCTTTAATTGAGGGATCAGGATTAATGTTTAAGTTTAGKTAMTGAGTTCGGGGATAGGCTGTATAGTGCTAATAGAAGTTACATTTAGGGTCTGGGACGGTCCGTTGATGCACATTTCCTACTCTTTTCAAAAATATGACAACATGGTCCTCCTCATCCATCTCATCTCRTTAAGAACTGAYGTGACGGGGGTACCCGGCATGTCCAAAACTGGACGCAGACGATWCCTGTMCAAGCATCAATATGTTGACAAGTCAGGAGTGAGAATGGCTTGAGAATGTTGTCACTTAGTGCRCTTGGYGGGCCAAATGGGAGTCACCCGCAGGCCACATTTGGCCCGTGGGCCTTGAGTTTGRCACGTGACCTAGATAAGTGACACGCATATAAAAAAAATGTGGGGCCACTTTCACCCTCAACTGTGAACAATAATTTTGATCAATAACATTTATAGACCTCTGTTAGTGCTTCTAAATTTACCAAGTGCTAATCCACTAATGAATTTTAAAAATAGCAAAATCCCTAAAGCACTAATCAGTAAATTAGTTCCCCTATTAGTGCTTTAGTGCTTTAGGGGAACTGTGCCCCCCACTGCCTATAAGACACCATTTATACAAAGTTAGACGTTTTGATTGTTTTAGTCAGGCAGTAAAGCTACTTGAACACACAAGAAGCTGAGCTTGGCGTATCTAAACTGACATCCTTCTAATCCTCCCTGCAGGAAAGAAGGAGTTCATCCATTAAACTTTGATGAACTGTAAATGAGGGCTCAGTTTCCATAAGYAACGTGAAATTTGAAGATGCCACACAGATCACTTGATGAGTGACTGTGCTCGTGTTAATTGAAAGCTCAGAACAAATTAAAAGCCTAAAGCTCTTACCAATGACAGCTGCTCTGTGYACAGGTCTGGGCTTGCTCGTGTCCCAGCGGGCACCACTGGGCGTGCTCCACCTGTCCACGGCTCTCTGAGCAAAGAAAGAGTACTGCAGAGCGCGGGCCTGGCCTGAAGTGAAGAGCACCTTGAACAGATCTCTCTCCCGCTCCATGCCAYGGCTGTATGGCAGCGTGGCAGCGGCCTGAACCGCCTGGACACATGCAAGGGGCGCGATGGCTCCACGGGCATGCTGCCGCGCCTGCTGCATCGCCGTTTCAAAGAGGGCGTCTGCATCAGGGGGGCGTGGGCACGGATAGGTGCTTATACGCCGCGAATCCAGTGATTTACCTGAAAAAGAAACACATGAWGGGGYGACTTCAAAGGAACGAGTGGCAGTGGAAAGTTGAAAATAATCAATAAAAGCACTTTTAAATGTRATTTTCCATCGTGTGCGTCTGCATAATTCATATATTAAACTTAAAAGTGCCACCTACTTTCACTCCCCACCCAGCCCCACACTCCCTCGCTCTCTTGAAATTTTTCAAACRGCACTCAGCAAGTCTGCCTATAATTCATTTTTCAGGCGCACTCAGCCACTCAATCTCTACATAGCCCAGTAGTTTCTGAGAGCAGACTGATCTGAGAGGCCGTTTCCAGATAAACGCAGCGACTCGGSGGCCCCCYGAGTTGTCACAGTTCACCTTGAATWCKGCTGCTCCGAGCAAAACAGAAAAGAGTTGGTCCCGAGCAAAGTAGCTGATGAATTTTTGCAATTCTTAGAGCAAAAGCAGCACTAAGAAGAAATGATGGTGATTCTTGTGCAGTTGAGCAAAAGTGCCAATCTTATAAAACTTGGGGGATTGCAATGAAGTGAAGGTTTGACACAATCTGCTGGCTTCCTTAAATTTTTTTCACTATTTGGCATTTCATAATGTCCTGTATGAAAATCAACTGTTTTCATTTACAATTAGGATCTGAATTAAATGCATAATTTGTTTGCTCTCTCTTGTATAGTGCCCTGAGATGCCTTCTGTTGTGAACTGGCACTATACACACAAACTGAATTAAATTAAAGACTTCCTGCTTAAAGTGCCTGTGACATGCCCATCCGTCAAATACAAAAAGTAAAAAAAGCATCTTTATATTTAAGAAAATTGGCATAGAACCCATGATTTTACCCATTTTGTCCCATAACTGGCCTATTTTCTTTTAAATTCTCAGCCAAAGTGAAACAGGAAGTGACATCAAGGGGGAACTCATTAATAAAATAAACTCGCTGGTCTCTGTTTATTAAAACAAAATTATTTAAACTTTAACTCCTCTTCGTATCTCTTTGAAAGTGACTAAAAATAATCTAGAGAAACATCAGATTCTTCTCTACAGTCTACGTTGTTAGCTTCTGTAAACAACGCTCTGTCTACATGCTGCCATTCCCCTTTGACATCACTTCCTGTTTCTTCACATGCCAACATCTCAACAACCGTTCATCTGAGCAATGTGAAATTTGTTTTGTAATATGTTATAAATGTKATCTTTCAAAAAATGCATTTGTGTTTTTATTACAAAAATTTGATGTCACAGGCACTTTAATGTTGGGACTTTACAACATAGAACAATGAGGGAAAAAAAGAGATGGGCACACTTTTTGAACCTTGTTAAAAGCATCTTCATTCCCAGTCCTGCCTCCTCTGACGTGATTACACGAGACAGTCGTCAGAAACCTTCACAGCTCCACTGATTCACGCTCAGCTGTGGGTCTGAGTCGGAAACTGGGTCACCGTGGTGAAGCTTAAAGCGCCAGCAGCCACGTCTGTTTAACGTCACCCACTTTTATCCTATAATTTAAAAAAAACTATATTCTCTAATATCATGGGTGAATAATAAGTACTGAAGACTGAATTCAACAGTTGAGTGGTGGTGAGGTGTGGAGTGGTTTCGGCAGCATTATTGCTGCAGTTAATCTGCAAATGGTTGAGCTGTGGATTTGCAGCCGACTGGAATCCTGGCTGCTCCGACAGATGTAGAGGGCAGATGTTGCAACCACTGGGGTTAAAAAAAAAAGTTAATCTCATCCCCAGAGAGAGTCTTGAACATGCTCGCTTGTGGGGGTCTCTGCCCACTCAGCCATACGAGCGTGGTGTTTGTAACGTCGCTTCTTAATGTAGCAAACCTCATTTATTGTGATAAAAGCTGCACTTTTGCTGGATTTTTTTATTGAAATACATTTTCCTGTCACCTTAAAAGCATAGTGTGGGAAAACTCATGTAAAATGCTGCTATTTGTGATTCTTCAAATCTAAATGTTGACATTTCTCTAAAGATAGATTCTTCTTTTTGTCCGTACGCACAACATGAAGCACAAATAGGCTTCCTGCTCATTTGAACGCATCAAAAATAAGTTGTCAACTCTCAAAAATCCATCAACAAACAGCACAAGACGACATATCTGAATTTAAAAAGAGAACCTGATGTCATGAAAAAAAGAAAATCACATTTGTTTCAGGCAGATGAATCAAAAGCTCTTCTAGCACCAGGAAGCARAATACACATTTCCCTTGTGTACGCTAATACACAAAAAAAAAAAAAAACCACACACACACAACAGAGTGGGCGTTATGAGTTTAGTTCACTGTAAAAGAAAAAAATATATTAAAGACAAACTCACATAAAAGGAACAGAAGATTTCACTGTGCTGCTTTCCTGCTAAATGTTTGATAAGTGTTCTCATTTCTGTTTGTTAAATGTGAAGTTAGACACAAAACAAGAGCTAAGTGTTAGACTAGTGAACCAAATTCTAAAAGTAAAACTGTTTTTCTTTTTTTTTGTTTTGTTTTCACAACACAAGAAATATAAAAGGAATAATTCAGATCTGTTCAGTTGGGAAAACAGCAACAAATTGAAAGCAATAAGTATTTTATGTTACCTAATGTAGCTTCCTTTCAAACTACAATGACATTGGGAAATAATTCTTTAATAAACTTGAAAAATGATAGAAAACGGTTTGTCGTTTGGGTAGCTTTTAGCTCAGCCTGAAGGAAAACCTCTGCATACTCACTTTTCTGTGGCTGATAGATAAAAATTTGACAGAAAGTATCCCTTTAAGCTCTGTTTTCAAACTAAGAGATATGTTGCAGACAGAATATTAGTTGTTCACCTCTCCCCAGAACCGCTCTTCCAAAGGATCACTTTCTAGTTTTTATTTTTCATTCGAGCTGAACCCGCTGGTGTTGCTCCCTCAGTTATACGGTCGCTACACAAATCTGAATGAACTCTTCTTTGTGCAGAAAGAAAATAAAAAAAAAAAAAACATTTCCTCCGAAGCTGCTGGGACGTGGCACACTTCAGGAATCCACTCGGTGCGTAAATGAGTCAGACTCACGTGCAGGCGGCGGTCCTCGTCCTCCTAAATGACTGCTGAGAGCCCATTATTAATATTCTAGGAAAGTTTGTCCCTTTTCGCCCTGTTGAATAATACAGCAGAAGCAGTGAAGACATCAGAACACTTCTGACAGAGCCATGAAACATTGATGGGCTCTGTGTTGGAGGATCTGTCTGCCGTGTCTTCTGCYTCCCTCCACTTCCAAAGCCTATGTGTCAACACTTCTTGATGTCTCCGTGCCTAAAATAACCRCTTTTCCCTTCCTTCCACTGAGTTCTGTTTTTTTTTTTAAAACCAGAGATGAGACCGTTCCATTAGGAACCCTGTGCACCATGTTTCTGTAGCTTACCTGCAACACTCAACGCAAGCTTGACAGCTGCATCCAGAGCGTTGTGATCGGTGACCTCGTCTACTATTCCAAGCTGCAGGGCCTCGGCAGCCGTCACATGGCGACCTGTGGGACGGACCAAAATCTGGCTGACAAATAATATAMTAACACAAGTACAATTACTAATCCAGAACTATTATTTTAACACTTCAACATTAAGGTTATGTTTTTTTTAAATAATCAGAACAGGAGAGCAGCCCACTGCAAGAAGCTAAAACTAACTTATGCTGACACCTACTGGTCAAACAGGGTTCCTACAGTTTAAGGCAAGTTAAATTTAAGACATTTAAACACAAATTTAATTTCACAATAAACACAAATGACAAAAAAAATTAAACTGTGGCAGAAACTCATGAATCAAAGTATTTTTGGTTAAATTATTCAAATATTGCTAATAGACCAAGTGTTTTTATCCATATCTAACTGCTATTTTGTCAAATAAAAAAAAACATTCTTAGCAGTCAGTTTTAAACTTAATTTAATTTCTGGAAATCCTCTAACGACTCAAAATTTGGAGTTTTAGGACCCACAGTGGGGTCTCAACCAGCTTGCTGTAGATGAAACCTTAAACTGCCGGTGACATCATATTTTTGTAAGAAATATGAATGCATTTTTGGAGAGACAACAGTCATCCTACTTACAATGTGTTAAATATTTTAAGACTTCTAAGGATTAATTTAAGCCCTTTTAAGGCTAATTAAGGCCTTATTTTTGGATTGATGAATTCAAGGCCTTTTAAGACTTTTGAAGGTTCTGCGGAAACCCTGAGTGTAACGTGTTTAAACAGCTGTTCTTCACTGATTCCCTTCAAAATGTGGTCTAATCATCTAAAACACAATTACAGCCCTACCCTTTCTGACTGCATTAATAACAGGTACGTCAGTGAACTTTTCAGGCTTTTAATGAACGTAATGCTTCGCTCAGCAGAGGAAAGGATGTGAATTTCTTCAGATTAAAGACTCAGAAGCTCCTTTTAGGGCAACAACTTCCAAACGTTTCCTGTGGCTGTTAAAGGAAAACTCTGAAACATTACTCCCAACAAAACTGCACAATTTACAGACATAATAAAAAGGAGATTAGTTACTTATTTTTTTGACATGAAGATTGGGTGATTCAAAAGATTTCACTTAATATTTCCCCACTCATGTTTAAAGTAAAATCAACTATTCTGCTGCACTTAGCAATAAAAAAAATAATAATTTTCTCACAATATCAGTTGTTTACTAATTTATTCCAACAGCAGATCCAAAACTAATAAAGCAGCACAATGGGCCTCATGCAAGAACCGTTCGTACGCACAGATTTGTTCTTAAATTGTGCGTACGAGTGATTTAGGAGAATTTGTGGCGTTCACCAATGTTTTCGATTCTAAGGTTTTTTTTCAGATACGAACAAAATTCACGAGTGGTCCAGACCTGTCGTATATTTTACCAGCAGTCAGTCTGCTGTTATCCAGACGGATTTTCCTCCCTAATAACTTTATATTTCGTTAGTTTGAAGATATTTTGAGTTGAAAATAAATTACACTCCATAATTGCTTGACAATAGGCAATTCTGCTTGAATTAGAGTTATAATTTTAAATGTAATAATTTAGACTAACAATATAAATTGTCCGTTCGTCCGTTTTCTGCCGCTTATCCGGGATCGGGTCGCCGGGGCAGCAGCAGAGAAACCCCGCTCTCCCCAGCGACACCCTCCATGTCCTGGGGGACACCGAGACGTTCCCAGGCCAGAGGGGATACATAATCCCTCCAGCAAGTCCTGGATTTTCTCCAAAGTGCCAGACTTATTTTGAAATCATTTTAAAATGCTTATTTTAGAACTGCAACTGAGACCACCTGTGACCGCGTGGGGGGGGGTGGTACGGTGCGCAACGCCGTGGCTTCTGAATAAATGAAAATGATTTAACACAGTTGTTTATACTTTTAGCAGCTCTTTTTATTCCACAGCTGACCTGCTAAAAATGACAGATTTTMTTTTCTGGATCTCTGACAGACGGACTTCAATCTCTGAACTTGTAAAGTTCTTCTTTTTAGTTTTCGCTGTCATTTTCATGAATGGACACTTCCTGATATCTGAGGCAGGAATCATAGCCTTATATGGTGTTTTTGGGGTGGTAATTATGCTAATCTCCTCTCACGTGCACGATACGAACAGGTGGAATTTACGCAGCTCATTTACACACGTTTCCTGAAGATAGAAGAGTTTGTTGAATCTGACGTGACATGTTCGTACGAACCCTTTGTACGAGCAAAAGTAAGAGAAATTTAGGATAAGAATACGAACATGTTCTTGCATGAGGCCCATTGTTCTTTTATTTTTCTACCTGTTGTGATGAGCTCTAAGGCAGCTGGGATACCGATGAGCCTCGGTAGGCGTTGGGTTCCTCCAGCACCCGGTAGCAGACCCAGCTTCACCTCTGGTAGTCCTAGTTTGGCCTGAAAAAAAATGCACAAAATATAAAAGTAACATTTCCAACCACAGACAGCGCAAACATTTCAGATTTATTTATTTATTTTCAATAAACACAGTACATTATCAGAGACAAATAACAAAACTAAATTTAAAAAGTCAGTTTAGTGAAAGGTGGGCAGTCGGCGCGAACCAACCTTAGAGTGCGCGATACGATAGTGACAAGCGAGCGCCAACTCAAGGCCCCCGCCTAAAGCGATCCCCTCGATGGCTGCCACCACCGGTTTGGATGATGACTCCATTCGATCGATCATTGGTATCAGAGACGGGCCGCGCATGTTTGACCCAAACTCTTTGATGTCTGCACCTGTTGGACAGAAACACAGCAAACAGCTTGTAACCTGAGCTGTACATAATTATAACTCAACAGCACAGCTGCCATATAAAAACATTCAAACCTCCACTGAACTTCCCGTTCTGACCACAGATGACCACAGATTTCACCTCCGGCTCACTGAGAGCTCTTTCCATCATGTCAACGATACCCTGCCTCACCGCCGCACTGCAACCACAAAAACACATTTTAAAATATTAGCTAACTTGTACAATACAGTGCAAAAGTCTTGAGTCATCCCTCAGTTTTTTACTTTTTGCCCACAAGGAGACAGACTATCTAAGAATGTGTCTTTGTTTGTTAAATTGCATAACCCTGACCTGTGGACTATTCTCGAGTTATCAATAAAATTGTGAGTCAGATCTTTGCTAGATCGATGGCTGCCTCCTAAAAATATAACTTTCAGACACAGCCTTCTTTACTTGCCCGAGTTTCAAACTAAGAACCAGACAAGGTTGCGGTCATTTTGGTCAAATTTTTAAAGTTTACATAATCTCATGCAACATCACACTCAGAGTATGTTGTGAATAACTCAGCTATAACCACATACAACGTTAGCTTAATATCTGTAAAACTGACTTAGTTGTATCCATTTTACTTTAGCTAAAGTCGATCAGCTGTGGCCGCCACCTTGAACTGGTTCTCCTCTAAAAGTTAATCAGTTGTAGAAAGGCTTTAAAATACTAATTTCTGAGGGTTTCACAAACTTTCTCTCAGACAAACAGCAGAAAGTAAATGATTAATTCCTGTTATATTGTTTACACTCTGAGTGATTGTCGTTTTACCTGGTGACAGACTGAAAGATAAGAAACCTTTAACCATGCACAGTTTATTACATTTATTACAGAGGTGAAAGAGGAATTTAGCAACATTTCTAACACTGAAACACACGAGCAACTAAAAACAAAACAAAAAAATAATATTTTCACTTGTTTCACAGTTGCGTAAAAAATAAAGGAAACTAGTTTGTTACTGGTCATTTATTTGCAAGTATGTGTTGCATATTAACATCAGCTAACATTTCAAATAAATGTTGTTCATTGCTGCTAGTGCTTTAGAATGAAGGAATTTTGGTTCATTGTATGCAAAAACAAAACAAAACAAAACACTTGAGTTTTCATATTCGACTGAAATAAATACTTTGACTTTGCAAAACAAACATTATTTTACTTTAAGTCAGGGGTGTCCAATTGTGGTCCTCAAGGGCCACTACCCTGCACGTTTTAGAGGTCGCTCTGCACCAACACACCTGATTAGAAAGTGTGTGTGTGTGTGTGTGTGTGTGTGTGTGTGTGTGT